TGGTCTTGAACACACTTTTTCTTCCACTCAAAAGATTGAACTGCGCATGCCTAGGCAAGAGGCTTCCACTCCCGTTTATCCACATGTGCTGAGGGAATCAATAGCCCATGGAGGATCTCTTCTCCCTTGCCACTTGGGGAGAAGGGAGCAATGCTTTACAGGGGCTATGTTCCAGGATGTGCGAGGCGTTAAAAGCTGGATCAGACCTTTTGCAAGCAATGCATTTTTATGATTAAGCCTTTGGGTAAAGCTTGTTTCAAACGGGCTGCTTTAGCTGAGTGTGTTCATCTGGGCGTGGGGTAAATGCCTTAAAACACAGGTTTGCTGCGAATTATCTACAGAGAAGTTAAAATTCATTTTATAAAATAAGGATTGCCCGAGTTGTAGGAGGCTTTCTGGCCCATTGAATCATGGGAAAGAACTATGTTTCTGCAGCTGTGCAAAAGCAAAACTAACATCCTATCTGGGGAACCCCAGCCGCATCACCCAAAGGCCGATTTCATGTCATGGAAGTGAATCAGAGGGCTGAATTTGGAGAAAGTTCATAAATTCTAACTCACACAGGAAATAATTACACACTATTATTATTGAGTGAATGTAGCAAGAAATTATGATCCTTGAGTAAATAACCAGAAAGATCTAAGTCCATTTGTACTAAGTGCAAACGGTCCTGTGGATCAAATTACTGATCATTACGCTCATGGATGTACAATAAGATGTGCTTCAACTCAGGCCAGTAGACGATCTTCAGAGATGTCTGAGCGGCTTCTGGCCCTGACATTAATCCGGAGGTCACTGGGGAATTAAAAAACAGTCTGGGAAAATGTTGAATCACTGCTGGGCAGCCATTAACCTTACATAGCTTCTCAGTGTCCCAAATATACTGAGCATTTCTATGACAAGGGTCAGGACAGCAGACTCACTTGAAGGAACAAGAAGTAACTACTGTAGGCTTTGCAATTCTGTCATCTTACAAGAAAGAAGTCACTGGATGTCCTAACGATTATGTCCCGAGAGCGAGTGCCCGTGACTATGTTCCAGTATGACTTTATCTGTCAAAATAGTTAACTTGCCCCTGGGCTGTGATTTCTTTATGCCTGACTCTGAATGGTTGCCATCAATGCAGAAAGATTTTAAATTCTTTGAGAAAAATTAGGAGCTCTCTGGGGATCCACAGCAGACTTCGGTGAAACAGTATTTTAAGGGCATATTCGTCACTAGCCAATGGACAGTGTCCTTTAATATTTATAAATCCTGCATGAAGAAGCCTGCTTTTGTAAGAAGCCAGATGCCTCATCAGGAAGCAGGTTTGGGGCTGGGACCAGGGAGAAGTGCTAATCTGAGGTGTAAAACGCTTAAAGGAATAACTGTATTAAGCATATTCTCTTGCACACATTTCCTTCTCTTATATATATATTTTCTTTACACATTCAACTTCAACCAGTTTAATCTCTCATATCCCCCATTAACGTCTTTCCCTTCATTTCCTGCTGTTAGCCTTTGGTTTTGTCCCCACCATTTCTCCTATTGACATTTTGGGTCAAAATTTAATTACTAGGTTGGTTTCTTGCCTAACATTTGTGAGGGCACTCTCCAGTACCACAAACTAGATGGATAGATGGATAGCTAGATAGATAACAAGACAGACAAGCAGGGATGAGAGTATAATGTCCAGTAAACATGAGGAAGATGTTGAAACTATAAAAATACAGGAAACTAAAATTTCTGGCAAAAGTCAATAAAATAAAAGATATCTAATTTTGATCCTCAACTTCCCCCCCAAGACTACATTACTATATTTGGAGGGGAAAGGGCATGAGAGGACACCCCATCCATACCTAAGAGGATCCTATAGTGAGTGAGGAAGAGACAGAGTTAAAGCAGTGTGGGGGTAAAAAGTTAAAAGATGCATGGCAGAGCTGGAGAAAGGCTTCCAGAAATCCTTCATAGCCACCATTCTGTCGGCCAGACAGTAAGATACACACGTGTAGCGCGCAAGGCCATGAGGGCAGGGAAAGGCAAGAATGGTTGGGAGCTGAAGAGTCCCCAGCTTTGGCACAAGGTGTGTAACTCCAACATTCCAGCATTCAGAGAACCAGATGTGGTGGTTGGTGCCTACAATCCCAGCGTTCGGGAGGCGAAAGCAGGATGATAGACAGGAAGCTTGGGACGGCCTGGGCAACACAGACCCTGCTTCACACTATTCGTTACATTGTAAAGATGGGTCTCTGCCTGAGACACCTTCTGATTGGTTTAATAAAGAACTAGATGACCAATAGCTAGGCAGGAGAGAATAGGTGGGACTTCTGGGCACAGAGAGGTAAACAGGGACGATGCTATGCACTGTGACTTCTCCAGCAGACTCTCAGGTTGGATGTGCTGTACTAAGTAACTGAGCCATGTGGCAGAATGTAGTTTAAAAATATGGGTTAACTAAGTTATAAGAGCTGGTTTGGAAAAAGCCCAAGCTAAGGCCAAGCTTTCATAATTAAGTCTCTGTGTTGTTATTGGGGAGCTGGCCATCCCACAGAAGGAAGTCTGACTACATTAGAGAAAGCTTTTTACAGGACCCTGTCCAAACACCTAGCATATAGAGTGGAGGAGCCCTCACTGACAATAAGGCTTCAGAAGTAATCCTGAAAGGCCCACGCCTCCACAGGAGCTAAACTACCCTTTGAGAGGGCTACTCTACATTAATCCCAACAGAGCTAAAGGTATGTCAAAGAGCAAGCTGAACCATACATAGTTCCTCACAGTAACAAAGTCTAGCAAATCCCTTTCAAGAAATGCACTTTAAAATGTCTGAGATTGGTTGTGGGCCTTTTGTTACCTTAGAAGCTAAGGAATTTCTAATTTTATAGCAATTTTCATTGTGATTAAATTTCTAAAAACATATTATTTATATAACTGTGTGTCTATGTGTGGGGTGTGCTCACCTGTTTGTACAAGCAGAGGTCAGAAGAGGGCATTGGTACACTACTTCACTATTTTTCCTGTTCCTCTGAGGCAGGGTTTCTTCTTGAACCTGGGGCTTAAGTTTCTGCTAGGTTGGAGGTGCTACCGTGACCCTCCTGTTTGCTTTTTTTGGTCCTGGGATTATAGGCATCTGTAGGGGACCCTAGTTTGTTTCATGGGTGCTGGATCTGAATTCTGGGCCTTACAATTGTACAATTGTGGAGCAATTGTTAATAACTGCTGGGTCATCTCTTCAGGCCCCAACCACTGCACTTTATCAAGTGGGTTTTCTACACTTTGAGATGCTCATGTAGCTTTAATTTTCTAGTGTATGTACCTTTAATAGGTTTTAAAAAAAGGTCAGTCACCCTTGAATTTCTAGAATAAGCCTAAACTGGTCACAAAACATTATTGTCCTGTGTTGCTGGATTAGTTTTCTAATATTTCTGTCTTTGGTTTGAAGATTAGCTTTAATAACATTTTAAGTATATTTTTCAGAATTAAAGATTTATTTAGTTGTGTGTGTGTCTGCGTTTGTGTGAAGGAGGCTGTGAAGGCCAAAGGTGAGGCTGTGGGTCACCATGTCCATGCTGGGAACCGGAACCAACTCCTGGGAGAGAGCCGTGTGCACTCTTGACCACTATTCCCCCACCCCCTTTTAAATATAGTCTCATGTAGTCTCGGTGGCCTTCCACATAGCCAAGGGTAACCTTTCAGCCTCTAATCCTCCTGTCTCTACCCTGCAAGTGCTGAAGCAGTACGCTTAGTATATATGACACTAGTAATCAAACCCAGGGCTTCATGCACCCAGGCAACCGCCCTGTAGGCTGTTCTTATTTTCCAGATTTTAAATATTTCACGATAAACTTCTCTGGCTTATTCACAATATTACTGGGAACTTAAGTTCACATATTTGGTCTTTGGATTGCTTTAACTACAAATATTTTAGCATGATGTCAAATTAAAAACCAAGCAGAGCATCGTTGCCATCTGGTGGAAATGCCTATTACCACGTTGTAAAACGGTCCACTGTGATGCCAGTCTTTCTGCTCAGGAAATCAGCCCTGCCAGTTTCTCACTGGACCTCTCCAATTTGTATCTTTATTTCCATTCACCCACCACTACCTTAGTTCAGCTTCTAATGTAATTATTTGGCTAAAATCATTGCTTTGAAACAGGCCCAGATTCTACTTTCTACACGAACAGTTTAAAACGATCAATCTGCCTAGAGATAAGAATATAGCAGGAGTCCAAGGAGTACTGGTTAAATTTTAAAAGCACCCCGCTCCCTAGCAGTACCTGGAGGGAAGCAGAAGCACACAACTGTCTGAACAGACTGATAAACGACACACATACTAGCTGTCTTGCGGGCTTGCCCAGAGAGTAACACTTAAACCAAGGACATCTGGCAGAATAACCACAGGGATTGAGGTAGGAGGACAAAAGTAAAACAGATCCGAAAGCAAAACATCCCTGCTGGAGAGTATTTGCTCTAAGGGTACAGCATGCCCATAGATGTGCCCGCCTGGGTCCTGCTATGATTTTGGTTTAAAAATCCCAGTGCTCAGAGAGGCCAGCGAGCTCTACAGGACAGCTAAGGCCTCGTAGAGCGACACTGTCTGAAAACAACAACAACACCCCAACCCTAAAACTCCCAAACTGATTACAATACAGAAGGATATTTGTCCTGATAGATATTATTTGTATTTTACATTATTCAGTAATCTTTCTGATTACAGAATAATAAATAACAAAGCATCCTAGAAAAACACTAAAATATCTTGTAGATAAAATGAACTTTGTCTTCATAGTAATTTTAGAACAATAAGCAATGCCTACTTTTTCATTATTTATAGTGGTTCCCACATTACACAGTGGTATGTATTTAAGATTCTACAACTCAAAACAGAATATCCTTTTGGTCTCCTGGTAGGCTGAAGGTTTTAAAGATAGAAGGCCTAATTCTAAGAAAGCAACAGAAGAAAAACCTTTATTCGGAACCTCAGATCCTGGCAGTCTAGGGTAGCATCATTAATACACACACACAGAGCCAAGCTGTTTGTTTTATTGGTTTCTTGGGTGGGGGTGGTAAAGAGGTTAAGAAAGGGTTTGTTTCCTGCTTCAAAGAACACTCCCAAGCAGAAACCTTCATTCTCATATGAACGACACTGCCCCCACGCCCCAGCTTCCATGACAACCTGAACTTAAGATGATGTTGACAGAGTGCATCTCTCTGAAATACAGGGCACTCGGCTGGAGAAAGGGGCACTCCGTGGGCTCCTGTTCACAGCTAAAAGGAACTGGCACTTTAGCTTCAACAACAAATTTAAAATAAAAAAAAAATGTAACTTGTTTGACTTGTGGCAGGACTGGTTACTAAGGAACCATTCAGCAATAATGGCCTTGAATATTTGTAGCTAATGAAAATGCATTTAACCAAGGACTGCTGATTCTAAGAACTGTGACATCTGTGAGGAAGGGAGGAAAACAGTCTGAATGTCAAATTCAGAGCAAAGCATCAGTAATTTCACATTTGCAGCATCTATAAATAAAATACAAGGGCCAGATAAGAGTTATATGAATAATGTTAAATTGAAAGTGCATACAGAACTCAGGAATATGTTTTCTCATTAATTTTGTCACTTATTCTGGTTCAGTAAAATGCTCACAAGGAAAATAACCACTTAAGGCAGAAGACTGGTTATATCATTGCTGTTCAGAGTTTCAGGAGAACAAATGAATCAACTTCCTGCTTTAGATTGAATCATTCATCTTGAACCAGGTTATTCTGCAAGATGGAACATCTGTGTTACAACTTGAAAAGTCAAAGCAGAAAGTACAACCATAGAAAGCCAGAGAGTTCAGCAGAACATCTAGACGGAAGTCTGTTTGTAGTTTTTGGTATCCAAGACCTTTTTGCCACACATTGCACAGATGCCTGAAAAAAAAAAAAAGAAAACAAGTGAGCAACCAAGTAGTACCAACTTCTGGTTTATTTATGGTAATCTAAAGCTTAAGACCACTTATGGGTGTGGAGAAAGGGCTCCATGGCTCAGAGCACTGACTCTGCAATCGTGTAAACTAGAGTTGGGAGTTCAGCATTCACATATCCTCACAAATGCCCATAATTCCAGACCCAAGTGGGGTGGAGACAGAAGGATCCCTGGGGTTTGCTGGCTTCCAGCCCAACTGAGAAAACATGAGCCCCAGGTCCAGAGAGAGATCCCTCCACGAAAAGGAGGAGGTAGAGAGTGCAGAAGAAGAAGACACGTGGTGCTCTCTTTTGGTTTCTGTGTGCATGCCTGGTGTGTCTCACATGCAGGTACGTGCACAAACGCAGGTACAGAAACACACATATAAGCATAAGTAGAACCTTTAAGAATTTCAAAGCATCATAAAAGAAAAAAAGAAACATCCTTTAACTACAAATATATTTTAAACTCAATTTTGTCTTAGAAAAGAGAGTATTTGACTAAATACTTCTTTCTGTTATCCAAGTTAACTGCAAATCAAGTATATTTGATGTAAATAGAAAAATTAAGTTAAAGAAACTTACCTTTTTTGTAGGCACAGCCTTGGCAGTAATGAGAACCTGGCTGGTGTACAGAACTTTTACAGATTCTGCAAGTGGAGAACTTATTCTTTCCATACGGATCAAACCTACAAAGTTTAAAAGAAGTAAGACATCCATTTGCACTACAATAGAAACTCTTCACATTTTCTCCCATCAACTTCCATGACTGGCGGACAGACCTCCTCTGGTTCATTACTGTGTAATACGTATGCATTCCGCTGCCCTTCCATGTAAGCTCATGAAAAGCCAGCTGTATTTATTTTCAGACCTGTTCCTAGCACTTCTGTATGTTATTCTATCTGGGTGACAAATATGAAAACTGATGAAATGTAAGTATAAGCAATGGTTGATTTGACAAAAAAAAACTAAGAACCCGCTTTAGGACAACTAAATATAAACTGTTAACTAACATTGAATTGGGTATAGGTAAGCCAACCATTAAAAATATTAAAAATGTTTTGTGTGTGTATGATGCCACATTTGTGTATGTAGTTGTAGAGGTCAGAGGGTTTGAGTCCTTCAGAGATTGACTTACAGGTGGTTTTGAGCTGCGTAATGTAATGTAGGTGCTGAGAACCAAACTCAGGTCATTAGTTCCAGTCCCTTCTTTGCCTTTTTTTTTTTTTTTTTTTTGTAAACCCAGGCTGGATAACCCTGCACTCCTGATTCTTTTTTTTAAAGATTTATTTATTTATCTATTTATGTGTACAGTATTCTCAGTTTTCTGTCTGCATGTATGCCTTCAGGCCAGAAGAGGGCACCAGCTCTCATTACAGATGGTTGTGAGCCACCATGTGGTTTCTGGGAATTGAACTCAGGACCTTTGGAAGAGCAGGCAATGCTCTTAACCACTGAGACATCTCTCTAGCCCCACTCCTGATTCTTTTGTCAGCAGCACCCAAGCACTGGCATCACATGCATGTGCCATCACACAGGCTTCAACTTTGTTCCACTGAGGCACAGAATATATATTCTGGTGACGGTTTATATGAGGAAAATGATATAAAACTCTCATATAGGCTTTACTTCAGGACCCAGTGATAGATGAATACACCCACAGTTTATGTTTAAGATAAAATGCGGTATGTACCTCTCCTAATGACTACTTACTTTTAACAAGCATTTTTAACTGACTGGTCTGATACCTTTGAATAAAGGGTTTTCTACTATAAAAACATGGTATCCTATAGGAACCCTAGGGCAAATAGCTTTAGAAGAGATAGTTCTTCCCAAACTGGCAATAATATTCTAATTTAAAACATTTGCCTAGCTCTAAAATGACTATATTTTTTTCTGTGTAGCATCATAGTCCTGGTGTCCTGTCTGGGGTACAATCTAGGAGCTTCTTTTTGAAATTTTTTGCCTTCATTTCTTTATTTTTATTTTATGTGTACGGGCATCTTGCCTGCATATGTCTGAACACCCTGAATGCTGTGCCAGAAGAGCACCGATCTCCTACTGGAGTTGTAGGCAGTCGTGAGCCCCATACAGGTGCTGGGAATTGAACCCAGGTCCTCTGGAAGAGCAGTGTTCAGTCAGTGTTCTTAACCACTGTGACCCCTCTCTCCAGCCCCATTATTTTCTATATTAACAAATACCCTTTGCTTGCTTGTTTTTATTTTTTAAGACAGAATCTAGTTATATTACCCAGACTGTCAGGGAATTTATTATCTTCCTGTCGGCTTTCCACAGGTTGGGATTACCAGCGTGCATCACCACAGCCAGGCAACAAGTCACTATTAAAGGCTAACCTTCCTAAACTCAAGACAATCACTTTACTCCCACAGGAGTAAGGATGCTTGGAGTCCTTTTCTCAAACCATATTGTTATATCTTAAGACGACATTTAAATCTCCGAATTCTTATGATGAACTAGTAGTTTTTTCTTTCTTTCTCTTTAAAGATGCTATTATTTTTTGATATTCTGTCTGTGTGTGTGTGTGTTTGCATGCGGCTGGTGAATGTGCTGCGGAGGCCAGAAGATGGCAGCGGATGCCCTGGAATTGGAATCAGAGGTGGTTGTGGGTCTTTTGATGTCCAAACTGAACTCAGGTCCTCTGGAAAAGCAGTGCTCTTAACAACTGAGCCATTTCTCCAGCCTCCTAGTTTCTTGCTTCTTATAAGGGCACTGGAAATTCAATGTAATGTAGGTAGGATACTTTCTAAAATAAGCTAGCTAGAGCCATCAAAAGTAACAGCCACACTTCAGAAATAGTAATTTATAAGCCTGGAGGAATCAAAGGTATATAAAATTACACAATTCATATAAATAACTAGTAAAACCTGAATGATCAGAAACCACAAGTCAACCAACAATACACAGTATGGTGCTCTGCTGAACATTAGGTCCATTATGCTGTTTTTTTTTTAATCGTTTCTAATAAGCACCTACTATGTCACAGTCAGTTTATAAAGTAAAAGCTTTATTATTATTTCTTTAAATCATTGGGATGATGCCACACAATGGCTACTTATTCATTTACCAAATATCTACTGAGTACTTACTGTTCTAAATACCAAAGATGAACATTAAAAATTTCCTGCCCTCACTGAACAAATATAGGAGTGGACATGGAGAAAAACAGTTCAGTAAAACAAGTTTTTCAGATAAGCAGTGAGTGTGACAAAGAGAACCCAACTGGAAGCTGTACTGGAGAGGAGATAAATACTGGCTAAGGACCCTGCACCAAGGAGCTCACATCTCCGTCAAGTAACAAGTCAGGAGCAACCTCCGAGCAGCAAACATAACTTGCTTTAGGTGACAGTGGGATTGGCAAATCTCATGAGGCTACATGACTAATGAGGAGGAGTGTGGTATACTGGGAAGTCAGAAGAAAAAGATGTCATATCATGGAGGACCTTCTAAGCATGGTAGAGAACTTAGATTCTATTCTACAGGAAACCAATGGAAGGCCTTAAGCAAAGGAATTAATGACCTTCTAGATGATCATTCTGGCTAAGAATGTCTCAGTGTGGTAAAAGGAAGCAAAGAAATGGGATAGCAGTATTCATGCAAAAATTTAACTGAATATGATGAAGTACAGTGTCAAAATCTTGTTTTGAAGATGGGAGACATTTTGTTCTCATTCTCAGATGAAAATGTACAGCTCAGAAAGGGTAAGAAACTCCAGGTCATTGACTTCAGAGACAGACTCTCAAAGTAGTACTTTGGCAATGACCCACATTTTCTTTGTACCTGTAACATCTCTCTATTTTTATAGCATAGACTGAATACAGAAAAACATTGGGTTCCCACCACCCTTGAAAATATCCTTTGCTGTATATACTTTTTGTTTGTTAGCTTGTTTTTTGGAGACAGGGTTCAAACTCAGGTCCAACTCCAAAGCTTATGACTTTACCTCATTTCTTTGGTACCTTTGATTTGTAGGCAAATTAACAAGTAGATGAAATAAAAATCATGTTTTCTAGTAAAATAATAGAAAGTAGCACTAACATCTTCACATATTGTATAGGGTGGAGGAACAACTTAGAACCAACAGTATGTTTGTATGCCAACTTGGCCACAAGGGGATCATGCTAAAGTTCATTCCAGTAGGCTTGCTATTTCAAAAGTCACTTTATGACTGCCCTGGGTATGTTCTCACCTACCTTGCTTTTTTTGAAGTCAAAGCTTTGTTTTCATTCAGCTTCCTTCCTCCACTTTCTATATATTAAAAAAAAAGTGCATACATATAAATTTACTTCTGTGCATCTAACATATGTTAAATAACATACATTTTACACTTCTTAACTATATTAGGAATCCATACATGTAACTCAGATGATGAAACAAAAGATATAAAATCACAAGGGGAAATCCAGTACTCTTTAGTGGTTTAAAGATGACATAAACTTTTCATTTTGCTAATAGTGAAACAATAAAGCAGTGTCCATAGTATCTGATCCAGTTCTTATTTCCTTTTTTATAAATTTATTTTTATTTTATGTGCATTAGTGTTTTGCTTGCAAGTATGTCTGTGTGAGGGTGTCGGATCCCCTGGAACTGGAGTCACACATAGTTGTGAGATGCCATGTGGGTGCTGGGAATTGAACCTGGGTCCTCTGGAAGAGCAGTCAGTGCTCTTACCTGCTGAACCACCTCTCCAGCCCCAATTCCTATTTCCTAATAGGAAACAATACCTGTGGTGTTCCGTGCACCATCTTTCCATGTATCAGGAGTGATAACTCTGCCGAGTTTCTTTTCACCTGTTATAGCAAGATAGCAAAAGGAAAGTAGAATTAGTATCTAATAAATACACCATGTGGGAATAAAATAAGCCCATTTCTTTTCTAATTTTAAAATAATAAATATACTATGTCATTCCTGAGGTTCAAAATGACATTGTGTCAGATTACAGCAGGAGCCTGCTAATGCTGGAGTAGAAACCAGTGAATGAAGACTTAAGGTAGTAACTGTGGGCAATGGATAACTGATTCTAAGAAGGTTTATGGACAATAAGATGCTTTTGCTGTTTATATTTTAAACAATTCTGACAAACTTCAACATTTCCTAATTACCTACTATGTACAAAACAAGGTACTGATGAAAATAAAGCCTTGAATCTAGATTTCAGGGGGCTTATACCAAGTTCACTAGTTTCTTAAGAGCTTGTAGGTAGATCATAGGAAATAAATGAACCAGGTGGATTGGTACACAACCTAACATATCTATTTCTATTTTTTCTTGTTAAGAATCTATAGCGTTTATCAGATTTTCAAAGTGATCTGAGACTTTAAAACAAGTGAAGAACCCTTCAGTAAAAATATAAGTTGGAAAATAGAGTATGACAATTGTGAGCTAAGTGAAACAGTTGACATATCTGGCAATACAAATATGAAGAAGATGAAGTCAAACTACATAGATAAAGGACACATCCTGAGGAAAGGCATGGGAAGTTCAGGGTGTGCAACAGCACCAAGTGTGACGGGGTAAATGCTGGTGAAAATGAGGCTGGAAAGATAAGCCAGGGCCTCATCTGCAGAGGGTCTTAGACACCCAAAATAGCCAGTTACTGCCTACTGTTTAAGTAGGGAAAAGGTGAGGGTGGAGAAGTGAATTTGATATGGATACATCAATGGAATAGATGTGCTAGCTGAGGCCAAACATTTCCCAAAGATTTATGGAGCCAGAGAAATAAAGTAGACCAAAAAAACCAAAAACCAAAAAAAAAAAAAAAACAACAAAAAAACCCATCAAAAACAACAACAACAATACAAAACAAAAAACTACCTGGAATTTAGTAACTGAAAGGTCAAAGCTTAAAAGTTCTTTTAGTAGCACGGAAAGCCAGTTTGTGCTATAAAGCTGTCAGAAGTAACTCTAAAAATCTGGAGACAACTTTTGGACTAATTTATGACACAAGGAAAGACAGAACTGCGGTGGTTGCCTGACATGGCTTTTGTATGAGCATAATTTTATTTTACTTGCAGGGTTAATGTGATGAGCAGACAAACTAGGAGGTTAAAAATAATAAAACACCAGATTTTTTTTTTCAGAAGAGCAGAGAAGTAAATAGTGGGAGGAGGAAATGACCTTTTGAGGCACACAATAAAGCCCAAAGTATGTGCATTTTATGTTAATACCACAACGGATCTTGGATTCTCAAAATTTTTATATTCCATGGAGATATTAACTCACAATTTCCTACTATCCTCAATGCCTGGTGGGACAAAGCACTTAACAGCATAAGAAGAATCACAAATGGCCAGGCAGAGATAGCGCATGCTTTTAATCCCACTCAGGAGGCAGACACAGGTGGATCTCTGTGAGTTCGAAGCCAGCCTGGTCTAAAGAGCTAGTTCCAGGACAGGCTCCAAAGCTACAGAGAAACCCCATCTTGAAAAACAAAAACAATACCAACAACAAAAAAAGTTTTCAACAAATTTCAAGGGTTTCATTAGAACTAAAAGGGTGAAAACATCCTTTCTGGAAGCCAGAATATGAAACACATATATTTCCTTGGCGATTTTTGAGACTTTCTTCTTCTCCTGACCCAATGCTGTGGGTGTTAATGAAAAGAATGGACCGATGGCACAAAATACGCAGTTAAACTTAACCTGTATTAAACGTTTCACTTTTAGAGTCAAATACTATAGGGACATACTAATAGTACTAGAAGCAATTTGTTGTTTATAATCTTAAAATGTAACTGAAAGCCTGGAATTTATACTTGCTACACCTGGCAAACTCGATGCTACCGAAAGATTTTGAAGATCCATTTGAAGCCTCTTGGAACAGTCAAGAAGTTGTAATTGAAGAGATCCAGGAAGAAGGGCGGGATGGGAGCAACAGAAACAAGCAGAGATGCAGAACTGAGACCACTCTGAACACAAAGCTAGAACTATGCAGTCCCAGGGACAGGCAAGAATGACAGCGGGGCACGAAGGAAGACAAAGGTCACAACCACAGCCCCGCAGGAGAAAAAACAAAGGTCAAGACCCCGAGAGAATTTCTTCAGGTCCCTCCGGTCTCCTCCTCCCACAGAAGCAGCCCTTAACTTACATTTTTCGCACACCATCCTTCCACGAACGGTCCCCTCAACCGCCAAAGCAGGAGCAGCGGCCAAAAGACATCAACAACACAGCCGGAGAAGACTTCCCCTTCCGGCTATGTCAGCCCGCTTCCGCTCTCAGCATCCCGCTCTAGCCTATCCCGCACCCGGAAAGCCGCGGGAGGGTCAAACGAGAGCCGATGGGCGGGGCTTCTTTCATTGTCCCACCCCTCTTCACCAACGATTGGCTGTGGACTTGGGAATCCCCACCTCCTGAGTCTGCGCCTGCGCGAGGGCCATGGCAGCCCATCGCACCTGAGGAGGGTGGGAGGCGGTGGTGTCCCCTTCCCGGCGGCGGGCGGGAGAGTTAGGTAAGCCGGCGGTGTGCCCCTCGCGCTCGCCGGGGGCCGGTGCAGGACTCTGCCCACTGCCGCGGTGGCCCCCCGAGCGCCACGCGCCCTGCGGACCCGGGGATGTCCGCGCGCGGACCGGACCCTCTCTGTCCCCGCGTCTGTCCACGGGACAGACCCTCTGTCGCTGCCTCTCAGGTGGCCCGGGTGGGCAGCACGGGCTCTCTCTCTCTGCTGACGCCCCTCAATTGCCCACACTCCCGCCATCCGAGGTTGGGGCAGCATCTCGAGCCACCCTGGGTGGGGTTGAGCTGCGGTGCGCACCGGGGCAAAGGCTGCGTAGGAGGGCTCGGGAGCAGCCGCGCCTTCCGATCCGGCTCACGTCCGATCGCGACTGCAGTTGGTGGCTTTCCGGGTCTGGAGTGCTGGGGAACTCAGGGTCCGCCAGTGTCCTAGGAAGGGCTCCATTCAACGAGCCTAGGCGTTCGGGTACCGCTCGCTGTGTTAGATCAGCATTTGCAGGTGGCCCAGAAGCGCTCTCTACTCAGAGGATGGATTCCTGATCCCCTACCTGCCCGACCCCAGCACTGGAGGGAAGAGTCTCAGAAACTTTTCCCCAAGTCTTTTTTTTTTTCTTTGCTTTCTTTTCTTGGGGAAAAGAATTTCCCCAAGTCTTTTTCCCCGCGTTCTTCTCCGGACCCCTGAAGGTTATCTTCGTGTTGAAGCGACTGTGCTTGAAACGACTTTAGCGTGTTGTAGCCTTGGCTGTGCCTGCTAACTTGTTCGTCCAGTTTGCTTAATCAGTATCATATCTACCTTTGAAAACGACGGTGTGAATTAATTGAGGGCTGGTAGAACAATGCCCAAACGGTGGATGTTTCTGTTTGGGCGGGATTTTCACCACAATGTAATATGTATTACTTTAAGTTCTTTATTTTAACCAGTATAACGTATAAACAGCCAGTTAGGTCAAATATACGAATTTAGAGACCATAAACGTTGTTCCTCCTCCTACTCAAGTTCTGCTTTTGACTAGAATTTAGAGTCTGTGTTAGTGTTATTTGTTTTTCGAAGAGCTTCGGGAGCTGTTAGTTTAACATAATGTCCATCTAACTCCCGTACTCACCACCATTTGCATGGCCAAGTGTATACTTGGTTGGCATTTAGGAGCTAAAGTGATTGCATTTTCCTGATTTTGGTCAAAAGAAGGTAAAATTAGTTCCTTAATTGTCTCTAATACATGCCCCCTTTGCCGAAACCAGTCATGAGTATTTAATTTTTTACTGATTTTTTTAAGGCTCTGAAAGATGTTTGTATCGTGTTAGAAAAATCTAAAGTAATAGGATATCAGTGTGTGTTCTGTGCATTGAAACAAATATATTGCCCATGGAAAATTATTAGCACACGGTTTATCTTTAGAGTATTGAAGTGTTTGGGACATGGGGAAAATAATCATTGTTCCGTGTTTTTCTTAATCTTTTCCTTCTAGATAGCGACCTAAGAAAAGACCATGAAAGATACTGACATCAAGAGACTTCTGTATACCAATCTTCTGTGCATACTTTCCATTGTCCTAAGCATTTTTATCCCATCTGTCTTCTTGGATAACTTCTCGATACTGGAAACTCACTTGACCTGGTTGTGCATTTGTTCCGCTTTTGTGACTGCTGCCAATCTCCTGCTATATTTAGTAGTGAAACCAAATGTATCTTCTAGAAGGAGTTCATTATCACATAAGGTAAGGTTGGCTTATTAATAACCAGTTTCTAGATGGAAGTAATAGTGTAAGAATGAAGCATTGTGCCCGGTAGTGGCGCAGTCTTTAATCCCAGCACTTGGGAGGCAAAGGCGGGCAGATCTCTATGAGTTCAAGGCCAGCCTGGGCTACAAAGCTACTGTGAGTTCCAGGAGATTCAAGGTTACCTTGAGAAACCCTGTCCTGAAAGAACCAAACAAAGAATGAAGTATTGTTATATCCTTGAGTTATTTACAGCATATAAAAGGAACCAAATTCACCCCCCAAAAAAGTAGCCTGTTACAGTGTTTGATAGATCTTTGTTGTGTATTAATTGTGGAATTTGGCTCCTTCAGTGCATCACAATATAAATATGAGCCTGTATAATCATTGTTTTATATCATCACCGAACATAACTTTAACACACTGCAGTTTATTTTCATTTATTTTTGTACATTTTTTATGTGGGTAGGTGGATTATACTGTGTGCAAATATATGCGGAGGCTGGAGGACAACTTTAAGTATCATCTTTAGAAACACTGTCCACCTGCTCTGTACAGGGTCATTCATTAGAGCTCACCAGGTAGGCTAGGCTGGCTGGCCAATGAACCCCAGAGATCCTCCTGTCTCTTCCTAGTGCTGGGATTACAAGTGTGCCCCATACCTAACATTTTACTGTGGGTTTTAGGAATCAACTCAGGTCCTTGATGCTAATTGTCTGAGCTGTCTCCCAGCCCATGGATATTTTAAAAATATGTATTTTTGTTCTTTGGTAACTTTGTGTGTGCACACAGTGTGTTTTGATCTATTTACTCTACTCCTAATCCCTACCTAACTTCCTGTTCTTTTTTGTCATTGTTGTTGTTATAACCTCCAGCGTCCCATATCCCATATCATGGATGTGTGGCCGTCCATGGAGCATGGTCAACCTACCAGGGAGCACACTCCTAAAGACAATTGACTTTCTTTGCCTTAGTAGCCGTCAGCTGTCAATAGCTTCCTCAGCTAGGGTTGAGGCCCAGCCTTGATATTTGCTCTCCTTAAATAAGTGAATTTTCCAGCAATTGCAAATTAAGTCATTTCACACATGGTCTACCTTGACTAAACAGTTCTCTACTTTGATCATGTGGGTCCCAAAGATTGAACTCTGGTTATTGGGCTTGGAGGCAAGTGCCTTCACCTGCTGAACCATTTTGCGTTTTCTGTAGTTAGTTTTGAGGACTGTGTATGTGGTGAGGCGTGATCCAGCTGTTTCAGAAGCAGTGGGGGCAGCGTGTATTAATGTGTTAATTGGCAGAATTGGTGGCTTTTTAAGTGGGTCTTGAGTCTTCAGTGTACTCCTTTCTCTCTTAGGTAACCAGGGTTTTGAAGTGCTGCATCTACTTTCTTCTGTCTTGTTTCTTTCTCCATATCATTTTTGTTCTGTATGGAGCACCGCTAATAGAGTGAGTTCTGAATATTTACTTTTTGTTTTCATGTATTAATTTACTAAACGATCTGCTAACCTCTAGCAACTATAGTAGAGTCATAGTTTGGTTTGATTAATGGATCAGGGTAGAAAAAACTATCATTGTCCTATTTTTAGTACTGTTATGTTAAAAGCATTGAGACAACTTAATTCTACGTATATTTCTGTTACTTAGCTTTCTGATACTCATCTGTACATCGTAAACACCATATATATATATGTATATATATACACACACACATACACACACATTATAGTAATAAGTGTGTGACTGAAAAACCTCCAGGTGTCCAGCCTTTTGACATTACAACATGATGTGGTCTTCTACAAAGTTGTATTTAAGGACCTTGTGATCATATTACCAAAATCTGGCAATTCTGTAAGTTTATGATTTGGGATGCATTCATAGCTATCCTTGGATGAGGGCCACAGGCTGGACATGCCTTGATTTATGCAGGCAACTCACTATTGTGATATGTGTATATTGGTTATAAATAGTATTTCAATGACTCAAATATGATTCTAGAGTAACTGAATTTATTTTCTTAAGGGACATAGATTCCTTTATCAGATATCAATGTTTATTAAAATTTAAGTCTTTAAAATTGGCCAGTTTCAAATTAGTGGAAACTAAATTCACAAATATTTTTATGTGAGACATTTCATTTTAGCAGTGATGAAAATATCATGGTGAAATGTGTGGTTGTACATGCACACATAGAACTACAGATGCAGATACACACATAGTTGTATATACACAATAAACTAACAGATTGTTCTATTTCATGCAGGGAAGGAAAGTTTTCCTGTCATGGAAAATGGTTTCTGTATAATCTATCTTAAGAGAATCAGTGATAGACAATGTGTTCCATAGTTCAAGATTTTATCAAAATGCAAATTGTTAGACTCCAGACATAAACTCTTGAGGTGAAACTTGCTGATCGTTAGTCTAATCTCTTAATGTTAAAAAACAAAAAAAAAACAGTTCAAGTTTAGAGTTCTGAAGGTTGTGGAGGAAGAAAGCCAATTACCTAGAACTGAACTTTTGATGGTTTTGTTTACAAGGCCTCAGTCTGGATCTGCAGATTTGTAACATTTTTGAAATTTGTGATTAAAGCCAGGTAATTTCTAGGATATCTTTGCAGATAGTAGAATGATTTGGTGTTATTTAGTGGGTCTCAGGTAGTTTTTCAGAGTCATGTATAAGAGGATTCTTGAATAGTGAATGCTCTTACAACGATGATAGACGCTTGTGAATACATGGACCCCAACACTTTTGAAAGGTTAACAGGTTTTCTTTTTCATCCTAGGTTGGTGTTGGAAACATTTTTATTTGCAGCTATTCTGTCTACTTTTACTACAGTACCCTGTTTGTGTTTGCTAGGACCAAACCTCAAAGCATGGCTGAGAGTGTTCAGTAGAAATGGGTAAGTTGAGCATTTCTCTTTTAGTGGCAATAGTAATCCAAAAGAACCACAGAAGTCTCTCCTGTTGGTGTTGGTGCGCTCATCCTGTGAGTGTTTCGAGGCATCTGTCTGCCTCTCCGAGATGCCAAAAGGGGCGGTGCCCTTGGAGAACAGAGGCTGAAGGTAGACAGTTTGAGAGAATTCCAGACAGAGAACTACAGCTGCCTCCACGTTAGCGAGACAGAGTACTACAAGTACTCTGTGCTTCTGTGCGTTTCATAATGTAGAACTGAAGTTCACAGTCTCGAAATGTTTTGTGTAGCCATTTCTTTTTATGGTAACGCTGAGAGTGCAAGCTTCACTGCGTCATTTATGTAGCCACTGTACCTACGTTTTCAGCATATCTGAGTTAGAGTTTTAGCTTCCTTAAAGCCAGTGAGATGATAGATACTAAAAATGGTTAATTTTTAACTAAGAAACCAGGCAAGTTAGTCTTCACAGTTTGTCCTATTTATAACCCAGCAGCAAAACTTCTTCTTGAGCGTTTACTCTGTGTTGCACATTATGCTGGCTCTGTGTGGGCTCTAGAGTGCTCAGATTACACTGAAGGAGAAGGGCTGTGTCTTTCACGGCTACGAATGGGAAGAGCAGCTAAATAACTGAAGTGTCTAAATCCCCAATCAGTGCTATAGGAGTAGAGGGGAGTGAGAACAGGGCTGCACAAGGGGACTGGTCTGCGGTGGATTGCATCAGAAGTCCCAAAGGCGGGAGGATGCTTCTGCAGGGTGCTGGCGGGGCACAGAAACTGAAGTCAGCTTGTGGTTTGTGTGATTAGGAAATCAATTCAACGAGAACAGAGCACGGGCTCTGGGTAGCCTGTCTCTGTAAGTTACAGTTTTCTTTGGAATGAGTAGTGGTTATTTTTTATATGGTCTTGCTGTGTTTTATTTTTATTTTTTCTGGAACTGCTGTCTTTATGAGTATAAAGTTTCTAGAATCAAGAAATCATAACGACTGAATATCCACCCCTCCCCACAGTGTTAGCGTAGTATCTATGGAATTAGTTTATTTTAGTTTGAAAATTTTAAATATGGAAATTGGCTGAAATTTTTAATGGTTTAGCTAGATTAGTGATTAAGCCAGCTTTAAATTTTGTGTCAAAGTTATATATTTAGGGGACACAATGTAACCTGGTTCTATAGTTCATCTGTCACTCGACCTTGGTGTTCTAAAACTTACTGTACTTTGTAAAAATTAGGCAGAATGGGAAAAGATGGAGTTAGAGTCATAATGCTTGGAGACTTCATTAATGACAAAAAAAGAAGTGAAGAAATTAATAAATATGGTAGCACAGTTTTACATTGAACTGTTATTGAAACAATTCAACAACACATACTACATTAAATAATATTCTTTTTATAGGAAAAGACTTAAAATTTGATTCTTATCAGTTATTGTGAAGTAGTGAAAGATGGTTATTGGAAATCTGGTCAAGAATTAACACCAGGTTTGGATGAATATGGCTTATGATACATTAAGTAACCTAATATAGTTGGGAGATGTAGTTATATATATTCCCTATTTATTTATTCATGTGTGTATATGCATGTGCATGTATATATGTTCAGGTGCTGTTGTGTGGCATGTTGTAGGGCATGTGTGGCGGTCAGACAACTTTGGGTGGTTGGTTCTTTCTTTTCACTACGTGGGTCTCAGAGATTGAATTCTGGTCAACAGATTTGGCAGCAAGTGTTTTTATCTGCTCTGTGAAGTAGTGAAAGATGTTAAAGAAACCATCTTTCTTTTGCTGCAGTAAAGCACTGTGACCAAAAGCAGCTTGGGGAGGAAAGGACTTATTTATCTTACATGTTCCAATCATAGTTTATCATTGAGGGAGGTCAGGGCAAGAAGTCAAGGTAGGAACTGAAGCAGAACCATGGAAGGATGCTGCTTACTGGCTTTCTCCTTCTGACTTGCTCAGCTTGTTCTCTTACACACCTTCATGCCCAGGGCTGGCACTACCCACAGTGACTGCGACCTCACAAACCAATCATCAATCAAGAAAATGCCTTACAGGTCAATCTAATGGAGGCGTTTTTTCAATTGAGCTTCCCTCTTGATATGATGTAAACTTATGTCAAATTGAACCATCATGCCAGCTCATGGGAGAAAACAATTAACAATATACAATTCATACACTATTAGTGTCACCTGCTGAAACATATGAAATGACGATTTTTAGTACAGTCACAGGTCTGCATACCCACCACTAGAGTCAACTTTAGGGTTTTTTCATCACTTCAAAAAGTTTTATATTCTTACGTCTTATTGCTACCCTGTTACTGTGTCTAAGCAGCCATGAATCTTGTTGTTATCTCAGTAGGATTGCCTGTACTGGGCATTTTGTATAAATGAGCCCCACAGTTTATGATCTTTTGTAACTGATTTCTCTTACTTAGCACAGTGTTTTCAAGGCTCATTCATGTTGTAGCATGTATTGATACTTAATTTCTTGCTATAGTGGTATTAGGGATTAAACCTTGGACCTTGTATATGGGAGGCAAGCAGTCTACCAACTGAGCTGCATCCCTGGCACTACTTAGCTTAAGCAGAAAACCCACCAAGATTAAAACTTGTGTATGGAATGCAACAGTTATGTCCGAAATTGGAAGGGTAGAAGAGGTAGAACCATGGATCTCTGAAGAATGCAGAAGTTGGTGAAGTATTGGTTATCTCTGAGGAAAACATCTAAGAAGCTAGTAGATAAGCTAGAGAAGCTTTTCATTGACACTTTTTAGCTAGCCTGTGAAATTTGAGCCCTATTCAGAATGAGAATAATGAGTAAGATATTGAATTGATTTCTTGGTTATTGAAAGTTAGGCTTGTAATAGGAAGCTGTTAGGTTCCTCATATGCCACTGAAATGTCACTAGACTATAAAAGCTACCCTTCCAAAATTTCTAGAGTAAGATAATAAAAATCAAAGAGCAAGCATTCAAGAAATGTTTGTCAAATGGATTAACAAATATTGGGAGCATCTATCTCCCAATCATATCTCTGTCTCAATCCTATGTCCATCATATCTCCACCCTAACTATAGTTTGTCTCAATAATTCTGTTTGATTTTTAAGTAGCAGACCAGCAAGTGTGGTACATAAATACCACAGAGAAGAGTACAGCTTTGCCAGTTAATGCATATCAAGTGCACATGACCCTGTCATTAGAGCGAACAGAAGTCTCTGTGTCTCCATATTGATTAGCATAGCTAGAAGCATTGGAATGACCCTAAGATGCTGAGGGTGAACAGGTCTGTTTTGAATTGACATCTCACCGAGCTTCAAATCAATATAAAACGTTTATACTACTTTTAAGTGAAATAACTAAGTTTTAATTTATTTGTTCATTTGTATGTGTATGGGTTTTGCTTTCATATATGTCTGTACCTGTGTATCCCTAGTGCATGGAGGCCAGAAGAGGTGGTCGGAACTCCTAGGACTGGAGTGGCAGATAAGCCAGCTAGCATGTGGGTACTGGGAATCAAACCTGGGTGCTTGGAAGGGCATCAGGTGCTCTTAGCCGCTGAGTCCCCTCCAGCCCCTGGGTTTAATGTATTTATTTGCTTGTTCATGTAAATTTAGTGCTGAGCTGAAAACGCAAACGTTTTGAACTTGAAGATTGAGACTTATATATAAAGGATCAATTCTGATGCTTTTGAAATTTAGATACTTAATTTCATTAACAAGCTTTCACCATAAAGTTATTCCAGAAAAGTAAACAAAACCACTTCTTAGAGAATGTTCTTGTAAATAAACTGATGACAAAAAAGTAATTTGGTTTCTTAAAATATTTTTCCAGCTTCTTGTTGGTCTGCATAATATTGAATATACTTGATTTGCCAGAGTTTAATTTGGTTTGTCGCCTTGTATTATCACTGTGTGTTCCTTTCACTGTGGACTGTCTTATAAAGGAGAGCATAACATAGCATATGCCTTTGCTTTGCAGTGAAGTTTGCTTTTTGATTTCTCAGTTTGTTTATGCTGTTATTAAGTGTCTGAGTTAGTGCTTGGTCCCTTGAGCTAAATATTAGTTCCTGGATAGAATGCTCAGATCAGCTCTCAGTAACACCTGTTCTATAGATGAAAACAGGCTTCTTTTTGTCATCTTTATATTGATACAGATTTTATATTGAGAAAACTACCATGGATATTGAGTCAAAGATTTACTCGTGGTGGCGCACGCCTTTAATCCCAGCACTTGGGAGGCAGAGGCAGGCGGATCTCTGTGAGTTCGAGACCAGCCTGATCTACAGAGCTAGTTCCAGGACAGGCTCCAAAGNAAAAAAAAAAAAAAAAAAAAAAAAAAAAAAAAAAAAAAAAAAAAAAAAAAAAAAAAAAAAAAAAAAAAAAAGGTAACTTAGTCTGAATGTAGTCACACAAACTTAGCAAAGATTTTAATATTCATTTAGTGGGGAAAGTTTATATTGAAAATTGTGTAAAATATTTTTAGCCACCAGGAGGAGTTGTACCCCCCTTAGATCAGATTCTATTTGGATTAAGCAGGTGTACTTACTGTTAATTGCATCCAAGTGGCCGATACACTAGCACACAGGAAGCACTCAAAGTGGCATATTTCAGTTGATATATAACATAATGAATTTCAGTGAAGCCAAGTAATATGGGCAGGTACATAGGCCTTATTGTCATGAAGAGTGACCTATAGCATTTGTTTAAGTACCTTAAAATTTTATTCATAGCATAATGATAGGCCATTTAGTCTGTTCTCAGCCCTACTGGTTATGTGCAAATGTTCTATAATCATGACAGTATTAGTAGTAATAATATGCTTTAGATAAGTTTATTATGGAAATCTATGAAATGAAAATAAACTGGTATCAGTCCTGCAAGAAGTTAGTAGGAATTTGCCTAGTTTTAATTTTTTACCATTTCTTTGTTATAAAAGAATGCATATTTTTTAGCCTACGTAGTAAAATATATAAATTTTGTAGTAAAGGCATATGATTTT